TTGTTGTAAGTTGTTACATTCAATAGAAAATGTTATTTTGAACCTGCATGGTTGAAATAAATGTTATTCTGCCAGCACCCTTATGCATTATTTCCTCATACTTGTTGTTACGAACCCCAGTATAGGGTTGGGGCGTAACAGAGGAAGGGAAAGGGGAATGGGGAATAAGGGAAACACAGGGTGTGGTGCACAAGGGAACACACGTGGACAAAGGGGTATTTTTTAATATATTTTTTTCTTATTTTATTTACACACGACAGACACAGAACAGCAAACCTGGTGCAAGAGCTTCAGGAGTGATTATGGCCAAAACAATAAACAAAACCCCAACTACCGAACGAAACCCAAATCTAACTGAACTACCAAAGAACACAGAAACAACAAAACCTATACCTAACTCCCTAACCAAATCAGTAGACACAAAGTATATCAAAACAAAACGGCAACCACTCCCTACGCACCAGACACACACACACACAGCACATATACAGAGCAAAGCGTCAGAGTCCGAGGGGCGCGCGAAGTCGTAAACCAAAAACCGGGCGAAAGATCGAAAACCAGAAAGCAAACAAAACCAGGGCAGAAGTACAGAGAAGGGGCAAAGCGAGAAATCGTAAACCGAGAAACCAAAACCGTCATACACAATAATCAATCAATCAATAAGCAAACCAAACACAATCCAAAATATGAGCAGAGCTCTCGAAGGGTCTTGCTGTCCGGCTTTTCACTCCGGGAACCAGGAAGTGACGCGCAACGCATTGGAGGAGCCGTGGGCGGGGTCTGGTCAGCAAGGCGGAGCCAAGATGCAGCCGGTGAATGACGACGAAGGAGGGAGGTCCGGAGGTTCTGCAGGGCTCACCCTGGAACTTACGGCACGTAACACCCTGATGTTACTCTGAACCTGAAGTTCCCATAGTACTGTAGTTCAGGATGAGGTCCTTGATCTTGACGGGTATGTGGTGACGGTCCAGAGTGAGCAGCTTGTGGGGGATTGACATATATGCATTAGCTAGGTCCAGCCAAAGCACTGCCAGGTCCCCTTTCCCCTCACGTGCCTCCCTGATCAGCTGGGTGATCACTCCGGTGTGTTCTAGGCAACCAGGAACTCCGGGAATGCTGCCCTTCTGCACTGAGGTATCATGTCCTTGTTCTTTATGAGGAAGTCTGTCATCCTTCTGGCAATGATACTGAAGAAGACCTACCCCTCCACACTGAGAAGTGAGATGGATCGGAACTGCTCCAGCCTGGTTGAGTTCTCCTTCTTAGGTATCCAGACTCCCTCCGCCTCTTTCCACTGGTTTGCAATGGTCCCCTAATGTCAAGTCACTCGCAGCAACTTCCATAGGATTCTGAGGAGGTTTGGGCATTGCTTGTACACCTTATAGGGTTCTCGACTGGGCCCTGGAGTGGAGCTGACTCTGGCTGCTGTTACCACCCCCTGGACTTCCTTCCAAGTGGATTCTGAGGTGTTAAACTCCACTGTAGGGGCTGGCATGTCCATGAGGGCTCTCTGTGGTCCAAGCTCTTGCTCTCTGTCTGGGTCGCTGAGGGTGTTGTGAAGGAAGTTGTCCACCCCCTCCTGGGAACACTCAAGACGCCCATTGCGTTTCTGTCCTAGCAACCACTTAGTGAAACCAAAGGGGTTGGCTAAGAA